AACTAACAATCATTTGCGTCACCCCCCATGGACAGGAAAATCCAAAAACCTCTCCTGGTTATTCTCCCTTTATATATATTACCTTTTATACTGGATTAAAACTTCAATTATTTAATTTTAAATGTCCAGTATAATAAACACTTCATTTTAATGCTTTTTTTGTTGTTGTAAGAATTGAGTCGGCACTGGTTTATGAACAGCCATTCACGATGAATGCAGGTAATAGGCGTAGACTTTAAAATTATAAAATGATGTATGAGTCCATAAGCGGCTTTCTATCCATGTATGCAGGCTCTGATTTATAAACAGTCACCTTATGAAAGATGGGATACCAGTTAAATGGTTTATTCCTAATTTAAGTCTGTAATTTAAACTACAGCGATTACCTATTTTGAATGTTTTTTTTTATTTATATTAAAATTTAAAAAATGTTTTAATTAACTTTAATTTTTTTTTTATTATTAATTAAATTTTCTTCCTATTAAGGATTTTGCTAGATAAATTTTCACAAACTATTTTTAATAACTAGATTTCTCTCATAGATGGCAGCACTGAAATGTTATTTGCTACCTATTTTTTCTACCAAATACGTATATGTAAAAATTACTTTGTACGATTTAGGTTATAGACACTGTTTTTCTATTCTTTTTCACTAAATTTCCAATTCTTAAATTAGTATATCTATTTTTGAAGCAATTTTTACTTTTGCTCCACGCCGGTAAGTTTGTTTTCTGCTTTCTTTTATTTCAAACTCATTTTCAACTGCATTTTTATTTTTTGTGATATACATTTCTTTCTTCTTCGCGAAATTTTATAAACTGTTAAATTAGTATATGGGTCATTCTCACTGAAAAGGTATAAATAGACTAAAAAAATTTCTTAAATTAAAGTAATTAAAAAAGTGATAAAAATTACATAAATGCCTTTATTTATTTTTGTTACATGTCCTTATAATAATGGTCAAGTTTTCTATTTTATTTTTTACAAGTTTTAAAATATTTTAAATTCTGCCTTGTCCACGGAGGAGATGTAATAGTCAACGGAGGAGACATTTTATGTTATAAAATATAAAATGTTAATAAAGACTAATTCATTAATTATTGGGCACATCTGATATGAGTTTAACATTAATAAGTAAATAATAAAATATTTCATGATTAGAGATAGAGCTACTTCCGATTAATCATGCTGCTATGAAAGGAAACATCCATTTTTAACCTAGGTGTACAATTTCTTAAGTAACTCTTACTGAATATTAATAAATTAAAATGTAAAGACTATTGAAATAAAAATTCAGACTCCATATGAAAGTTGAGTGTTGAGGGTACTCTTTTGTGCCCATTTTATGCAAGTTAAACATACTGTCATCCAAATAACGTTTCTGTTTTTTCTCTTTTCTTCTTGTTATTGTTTCTTTTTTCCCTAGCCACAAACGACTAGCTCTATCAATTTCTAGAAATTTAAGTACATTTTATCACGATTTTTCTGTTAAATCTTTCTCTGGTACAAATTTTAAAGTTTCTTGCTCTTTTTTTTTTATTTTTTACTTTCTTTAAACAATATAGGGTTTTCTTTTAATTTCTGTCTAGCTTGTGTCATACTAAGTTTTTTCTGTTCCCTTCTCTTTTGCATTTGAACATTTGATTGCTTTCTTTTCTTAAATTTTGATTTTGCAATTTTTTTCCTAAAATTTGAAGAGAAAAAAAATGTTAAACATCACAGAAATTATTTAGAAAAATTGCCAATATTTACTTCTCCGATAAGAAAAAGTTAAACTTAATTGATTTTCTTTAAAAATAGAAACAAATTAACACATTTGTTCCATTTTAAAAAATATCAATTAAAAGAAAATAGTTTTTTAATTATTAAAATTGTATTATGGTTATCTAACACATTGTCTCTTACATTGACTGTGTCTTCTCCTCCGTGGACTTGTTATGTCCACGGAGGAGACAAAAACTAGTTCTTGAATTTTTCTGATTTTTAATTTTAAAGTTACAAAAATGGGGCAGTTCTTTTTGTTAAATATACTATTTTTGCAATCTAAAATTCATCTATCAAAAATAAAATAATTTTCTCTTACCTTCTTTATGATGTCCACGGAGTATACGGTGAGAACTTTGCCAAACCCCAGTTGAACACAACAATCCAAAACTGACACCAAAGAGAACAAAAACAACTGATATTTAACATTAGAAAATGGAATGGTTACCCCTCCCAGCAGCTGTCTTATAGGGATTTCGCATATGCTGCCCTTTATTGCATATTTACAGAACTATATTAATTGTCCACGGAGGGAGACATCATTTTTGATGGACAAAGTTTACTAGTCATTTATTTTACAAAAATATTATTTTTTTTAAAAAATATTAAGTGAAAAGTTACTATAAGCATTTAACTAGGTAAAACTACAAAAATCATTAAAATAACATTTAAATTGTTTAACAGGCATTAAAAATTATATTGTGCCACAGACGTAGGGACGTCCACGGAGGGCATTTTGAAGTCATGCTTATTAAAAAATAAGAATGAAATATTAAATACATTTAGCAGAAATGCATATGACTTGTTAGTTACGAACTTCACGAAAAATGATAAAGAAAAATATTAAGAAATCTGCTGTATTTCCTAATAATATTTATTACTCAGGGACTTAAAAAATCACCTTTTTGTGAGAATGACCCATATCTACTTTCAAAATTTTTAAAAACTTTTGCTCGAAACCGGTAGGTTCAATTTCCGTTTTGTTTTGTTTCAAACTAATTTTCAACCGCATTTTTATTTTTTAGAGACATACACGCATTATAAAGAGTATTTTTTATCTTAAGATTGTGGTGATAGGTTCGCCGCTCATCGTAAAATCAAGTTTATTTCATATTGTTATCTGTTTGTCTTTAATCAATTGTGTTTTTACTTACTTTTGAGAGAACTGAAATAAGAGTTCTGACGTCATCATATTAGAATTGTATAAATACCAGCACGCACATGACAGCCTGTCAGTATTTCTCTCATCATCAGCTGTGATGATGCTTCTTGTAAATCAAACCAACTTGTATATAAATGTAAATATGTTTAATAAAATATTAGTATCTCAAAGGAGCTATCTTCGCTTACCTCAATGGTGACCCGGATGTCTGACGATACAAGTAACTTTTATTTTTGATCTTTCCTGTTTTTGGTTCTTGGATTAATAGGAAACTGCAACTATGGCGTAATCATCTGCAGTAAAAATTCTAATCTTCAATATCACTGATCCACACCTGTGGTTCCATATGGTCGAAGCAACTTTCCAGCTTGCGACACCGAAGCCGATTACGGAGAGCAACTAGGAGATAGAAAGCCTAGTGAACTCGTGCGCACTATGCAGAGAAGAGCTGAATCCCACGAAATCTAAATCAAAGCGAGAGCTTTTCAAATTTCTGAGAAATTAAAAATAAATAAAATTCCAATGGTCGAAAAGCAATTATCTCCAACAAAGGAAGAAAAGCAAATTGTTACAAAATCTGGTCGCCGTGTGCATTTCCCAAAATATTTTGTTAAAGAGTATGGAATATAAAAGCATCTAAATATTTTGTATCTATTAATTGTATTCCAATTTCCAAGTTAAATTTCTTTCTTCGTAATTAAGACGTATATTTGAATTTACTACTTTGTATTTTATGATTGTTTTTAAACAATCATTATTGGTATCGTGACTTTGTCACTGGGGGGATACTGTGTGGTGATAGGTTCGCCGCTCATCGTAAATTCAAGTTTATTTCATATTGTTATCTGTTTGTCTTTAATCAATTGTGTTTTTACTTACTTTTGAAGTGAACTGAAATAAGAGTTCTGACGTAATCATATTAGAATTGTATAAATACCAGCACGCACATGACAGCCTGTCAGTAAAATATTTCAAAATGAAATGTATGCAGAGGATAGCAAAATCAGACCGATTGCGCTCTTCCTAACGAGTGACGCAATTCTCTCAAATAACTTCAAAATTGCACAATTTAAACCCTAATATCTAACTTTCTCTTTAATTTAATTGAATTAAAAAATGGCCTTTTTTAGGGCCTAAATTTCTCCTCAAGTCTCTTAGTTCAATTTTTTACCACCATCAGTACTGGCGCTGCAAAATCAATTGCACCCAGGAAATTCCAGCCCCGCCCAGATCCAAACTACTTGACCAATCAGATCCCAGCTCCTCCCCCAATATGATCTTAATAGTTCTCTTGCTAATTCTTTTCCCTTCTAGATTCACATCAAGACGTAAAGCAACTAATGACCAACAAGCTGAAGATGAAGAGGTAAAAGGCCCCTTCGGGGCCTGAAGGCCTCGGCCAAATCAACGACGACGACAGCCTGTCAGTATTTCTCTCATCATAAGCTGTGATGATGCTTCTTGTAAATCAAACCAACTTGTATATAAATGTAAATATGTTTAATAAAATATTAGTATCTCAAAGGAGCTATCTTCGCTTACCTCAATGGTGACCCGGATGTCTGACGATACAAGCAACTTTCATTTTTCATCATCGAATTAATAGGAAACTGCAACTATGGCGGAATCGTCTGCAGTAAAAATTCCCATCTTCAATATCTCTGATCCACACCTGTGGTTCCATATGGTCGAAGCAACTTTCCAGCTTGCGACACCGAAGCCGATTACGGAAAGCAAAACAAAGTTTAACTACTGCCTCGCCCATCTACCTCCTGATGTAGCCGCAGTTGTAAGGGACGTCATTATAACTCCTGACGNAATTGAGAAAAAATATATGCACATTAGGGGTCGTAAATAACTATTTTAGAGAGGTACGAGCAAAAATGCGAATGAAATCTGATCTGTATTTCTAATCTGTATTATATATATATATATATATATATAGTACAATGAAAACAAAAAGGATAAAAGGAAAAGAGAGAGGAAAAGTCTTCTTCTTCTCTTCTTTTTACATTTACTTTTATAAATTTGTGTATTTCTCTTCGAGATAAGGTAAATGCTAATTTCAATTATTTTTCAACTTATATCAATTCGGTTTTATACACGAAAGTTCGTTAATTCAATAAATATGAAACAAAAATAATAAATTTATTACAGAAATATAGAGGGAGGGTTATACATTTCCTCCAAAAAATCAAAGCAGCTAAAAAGACTGACAAAGCTGAGATTATTGACGTAATTAGATTGGATTTGTTTAGGGAAAATCAAAACGAAACCTCGTGTACTGGACAAAGAAAAATGAGAGAACGAAGGGTCTAGGGATAAGAATTTCTCAAAATAGGCGCTTTATGGATAAAATGTTGCGTTTAATTTATAGATATTGATACAAGAAAATTGAACATTTTATAAATATCTATTGAGATAAAGAGTAGCATAGTCCAAGGCTTTCGGGAGATAATCTAGCATCATATCAGATGATCACTTATTTCAGTACGTTTGTTGCAAAATAAAGAGGTGAGATTTATTTTAAGATATTTTTTGAAATCCATATATTTTTATTATATAGGAAAAAAGGATTGCTTTGTATTTTAAAATATTTCATTTTAACTAGTGCATTGATTTGGACTTTTCTTTTTGTGCCTAAATAAATGCTTTATGAATTAAAAATTTCATACTAACTGCTACGTTGCTGTAAGTTTTGTTAAGAATAAGCAGTACTATTTATTGATAAAAGCATATATGTATTACTCAAAATGGAGGCAAAAGTTCAACAGATTCTAATAAACTACATGCGCTTTAAACACTAGATACGCTCAAAATCATGAGTAAACTCGTTGTAAGTAGGAAAAAAAACCTAAACTATCAAAATATCTATATATATTCAAGTCAAGCTTGTTACTAAATAAAATGAAGGGTATTTGTATTTTGCAAAATAGTTAAAAAATCAAATATATATAATTCTCTTACGTGGCTCCCAAATTTTGACTGTATTTCTTTTCCGCCGGTGGCAACGTTTGCTTTGTTTTGTTTACGTTACCATTTCTCTTACACGGCCACAAAAAAAGCCTCATTACAACTCCCCGAATGGCAACCCTAGAAAATCGACCAATGATTGCCGCTAAAAATGTCTCATGCTAAATCTAGCTGAAGTGGCTCAACCTATAGCACTTTTAAAAACGGAAACTGAAATAACCAGAGAGCATCAGCTGCGGCAATCTCATACTATTAAGCTAGGCGGAAGTGAGTAGTCTTTGTCGATAGATCTCTATTTTAGTATTTTGTCGAAAGCGCTTTTTTTCACGAATTTATATATTACGAATTTATTTGACGATTTCTGATTTATATCACGAATTATACTATAGCACATTTCTAATAGGTTTAACGAATTGCATGATTGCAGATTTGATGAATTGCAGATTTGAATGATTGTTTTGAATTCTTAGAATTTTGTGCATTTGCAATGTACCTAAGTTAGAAGCGAGCGAAGCGAGCTTGGTTTGCGAAGCAAACCATATAGGATTGCGTGGCAATTTTCGGGGGTTGGCGAGCGCTAACGAGCAGGGGGCGCAACCCACTAGTTAATTCATAAGAACTTTAATCTATTAATAAGCAAAATGAATGAAGACATATGAAATTCTAGAATAAATTAACTAGTGATAACGAAGGAAGAACAATAACTAATTTAATTTTATCGAAAAATTGCAATTGTACAAGTATGGTGAAAATGCTTTGCAATTAATGTTTGGCACAATAAACGTTTAGCATAATTTTATTCGTATTTGATAAAATTTTTATTTATATTTTAATTTTGAAGTGTGTACTATTGAAAATATTAAAACATGTGTAATCTCTGAAGAAAGTTTTGATTTCGTCACTATTTTATAATGAACATTATTTGCTTACCATTATTTTTTAATTATCATTACAATTTGGAACTTGGTCTCAGTTCCAAGGTGTGTCACAGCTTCAAAACTGGGGGCATTGTTTGGAAAGTGTTTGATAACCTAATAAATTAACGCAATAAAAAACACATTACAATATGATAATTTTGATTAATCATAAATATATATGTTATCAGCTAAATAAAATTGCTTCTTCATTCTCTGCTTCTCCATGAATCTCAAAAAATAGCAGGTATAATGTCTATGGGTGACTGAAATAATGTCAATTAAAAAAAAATCGATTAGGTTCCACTGAATAAAAAGGTCACTAAACAGTAAGAATTTTAACATTTAGAGTCGTAGATAATTTATAGATGAAATTGGATCCTGAGAGGCACCGTTTGATTGCAAAAGGTTAGCAAAAATTTTAATTTGGAATGAAAAAATAAAAAAACGAACTAGGAAATAATTAATGCTTCCTTCCTTTAAAGCTCATAAAACCCTTTAAACTAACAAATTTGTTTAAATTTTAAAACAGTGAAACCTATCTCAGAAATTACTGTTCAAGTTGTTTATGTTTTTGTTACTATTTTATTTCTTATATCTACGACACAAAGCATTGTAACGAAACTTTAGATTTCTAAAATTTTTTTTGAAAAAAATGCTTCACTAGAATGCTAGTCTTGCATCTTAAACGTGCAAAATCATCAGTAAAAACGTTATCATAAGTGTACAAAATTGCAACAAAGTGTTTTATAATGAGCGTAAAGTTGAGTAAACAAAAGTTACAAAAATATATAATTTAACTAATGTATATTTCTTTAGACTGCTCAATTTTCATTTCCAACATGCAAAATCAGTATCAAAAAGTACACAAAAATGTTTAAAATGAAATTTTTTGTGGCAAAAACCTCTGGATTCATGCAAAATGCCCTCGGTCAGCGATAACCTAATTTATACCAAAAGTGCCCCTGCGAACTACCAGTAGCTATCAATCGACGCTTTGTTTTTTGCAGTTTTAGGCCCTCGGTTCCTAAGGTTTTTCGGCTATAGAGCCATTAATGTTTGATCCTCTTTCGGCGGAATTATATATATATATANTAAAATGTGCCTTATTTCGATTAAAAAAAATATATAAACAAATAAGAAGCAGTTATATTTAAGTTAATGACCTCGAATAAAATTTATGATAAAGCCATATCACTCTAACTCTTCGTGAGGCAGAATTTTTATACACATATATTTTATTTGAAAAATCATAGTAGTTGTCACAAACGTTGTAAATGGATCATCTTCTGATTGTTACCACTTTTAAAATATTTTGAAAATCGCGAAAATCTTATAAATCAAGGATTACTACAGGTGACTAAAAATAAAAGCAGAGATGAAAATTTGATTCATTTTTTTTTTAAATTCATTTTTTTAATTCTACCACCATAACATACATTTTCAATTATTCATAGTTAAAGCGGAAACCTTTAATAAATTGAAATAAATATTCTAAAATTCATATTAACAAAATATCCTTACATAAAGCTGTAGTAATTGTAATGAGGTGTCCCGGGTTGGAATCACAGCGATGGCTGGTCGATTCGAATTCCGCACCCGGCTCGCACTGACCACAGTGCTGACATGAAACAATAACCTCGATGGTAGACGGATGATGGGTTAGAGTCCCCTTGCAATTAGGCTAACCGTAATTTTCCTCTCCCTGTAACACAAATGCGGGTCAGCTTCATCATAAAAAAAAAAAATCCTCTAAGAAAGCAAATTTCTCCCAATACTTGATGGTGTTCCTTTGTCTTTCGGATTGAGCTCAAAATTACAAGGTTACGGACTTGAACATTGGCAGTGGTAAACTCGAAATTGGATCGACTGTTCGTTTTCAAGTTTATTATTTTTTGTACATTATTTTTGTAGCTTTGGGGAACACGAATTCAAATTTTGCGTCTTTTCTTTACGGGAACCATTTTTTCCCAGAAGAAACTAGAAAAATCCAGTACTTTCCATATAAAATTTTTTGGTTAAGTATAGAAAATTTTTGATCGCGTATTTGAGTACTCGAGAAAATTTCTCAAGAATTCTATGCCTACAATGTAACCGTAGAAGTGAAAATAATGAGAATGGGAATAATGACTATAGCATTGAAATATCATCCCTCCTAGTATATCATCAAAGAAAAATAGAAGAGACTAAGTAATAGAGGTTTAAAATTAAAACATTTTTTTTTTGGATGTAGTAAGATTATAACAAAAATGTTTTCACTCACTGTGGGGAAAACTTCCCCACTACCCCTCAAATAACCATAAATTTTAATAATTTATATTTTATTAATTAATAATTATTTATTTTATAAACTTGTTCGCTTCAAGAATAAACAAGTAAGAAGTAACTGTCGGCTTGTTTTAAGCGCTTCGAAAACTGGCCCCCATTTTCAAGACTTAAGCCATTTAGTGCCTTTTATATTTTTTTGCTTATCCTCTTAAATTTTGACTCAGTTGAGACCGCTAACAGCACTCATGGGAGTATTACCCTTTCCCTTATCAATTTATTCTCAGCCTCTGAGAAGAGGGTTCAACTCTTAATCCCCATCTTCCGAATAAACTTTCATTTTTTAAAAAAACTTTCCTAAAACCAGGAGTTTTGATAACTCTTTTTTAATTATTTGCTAATAAAGTTTGGAATGTGAGATTTCCCCACTATTTTACATTTGTTATTCGAACAAAAATAGTTTGCATCCTTATGCCCCATCTCCTAAAACCAATAATTTTTAAATACGTCTATTAATCTAGTTTAATATTTAATAGTATATATAGTATTTTTTGTTTTATGTAAAGGTACTATTAATTCTAGTTTAATATTTAATAGTACCTTTTTAAATTTTTAAGGAATCAAAATTTAGAATATGACTCTTAATATTTCGATCCGAATCAAAAGTTTACATATAACAAAACAGTCTAACAAAGTAAAAAAGAATGGACAAAAAAAGTTTTATTTAGCAAGTTTAGCATGAAATATAATAGACTAGGTATAATAGCCTTTTCTAATAATAACCAAGTTATTTAGAAAATTATTTTAATAATATGCTGCTGTTGGTCTGATGTTCTTGTACACGATTTTACTGAAACAAAGTGGTGAATTGTATAAGCCTTCGAATTATTTAGAAATAGTAATGATTAAAATCCTTAGAAATTGAATTTATTAAATCAAGAAACGTACAGTTAAAGATTATAACTCGAAAATATTTATTCGCTGTCCGGAGCAAGTTGGGATCTCTGATAAGCGATTAAAATCAATAAAATAATGAGAATTAAATTTTTTGAAAATGTTTTCATGATTTTAAGTTTAGATTTGTTTTAAGACTGTTTACATTTGTTATCTTAAATATAGATAGTTTTTTTTTGAAGCAGGACTGCCAACTACGTTTTTTGTAAAATAATTTATATAGTTGTATTTAATTAAAAACTAAAGCTTTTAGAATCTCTGGTAATTTTTCCTCACCACAAAAGAATTAGAAAATGTTGTGCTTTATATAAATTTTTGAATTACTTACATATAGTGGTGAGAAAATTTTTTTGAAGCAGATTTATGAAACTTAGTATCATACATAAAATATAAACTTAGCTACTAATTGAAAAAAATTCTCAAAAGTTGCGAAAAGAGCAAACCTTTTATAGTTAATAATTTTCGTTTCTAAGAACATCCTATTCGCAATTGTCAATTGTTGTCAGATCAACATATTATATATTTCTAATAGAACGAACAAATCTGATATCTAGATTAAAGAGAGGAAAAAAAGAAAATATTAATTTTTTTTTCAATTTTATTATTTATTTGATTTGACAATAAGAATAAAAGTAGCATCTTGCCTTAAAAATAAAAGTAGCTTAAAAGAAGTAGTGTTCTAAACATCATTAAATAGGTTTTGAACAGTTTACAGTTACTGATTGAATATGGTTTGCTCCGTTCTAATTAGGTTTCAAAATTAGCTAGAATAAATTAGCTCAAAATAACTGTAAAACAAAGATTTCTTCTTCATTTGTGATTATTCCAACTTATATACTTGAGTCTATTGTAAATTTTAGCTTTTCGACTACACCATATTTTCGTCTCAAAAAAGTGATTACTTTAAAAAACACTGCTTCACAGTTTTCCTGATTAACTATTGCCATCTGTCGACAAACTTTATAACTAATTCTGAAACCGAATGAGAATAAATTTCTGGTCTCCAAAGCAGAACTTAGAAAACTGCACTTTTTTGTTCTTTCTTTCACCGGTACACCTGGTACAAATCATGATCTCATTTCAGTACATTACCAGCGTTCACATTTCGACTATCCCATTATAAGGAAACAACAGCCAATTATGGAAAGTAACTACGACAGTATGATGACAGCTTCTTTCTTACCTTACCGGATGGGTTACCTTACAGATTGGATGGTGAAAAAAGCAGAAGAAGAACTGAATGAAACTGATGAAATTCGTGCACACTCTCTCACAGAACTCAGGAAACTGATAGCAAGTATGGGGTTGAAAATTTTTATTTTAATTAAAACATCTCTTGAGTTATATTCTATGTCAAGTAATGCTCACAGTCCCTGAAGTTTGCAATATTAAGCCTTCGGCAGTAATTGCTTCTTTTGTTAAGCTATAAAAGAAAGTTTCAAATACATAATTCTTCTGTAATTTTAAAAGATTGAATTAAATAATCTCGATTAATAATTTTTTTTAATTTTTAAATTAATTTTAAAATTGCATTATAAGAATACGGAAATTATTTTTTTAACGAAATTATTTTTGCTCCAACCAAACTTTCACTCGGTTATGTAGTTTTGTTTATATTTTTAAGATTGATTTAGAAGTAATAACTAATTTTGGTCGCATTCTGTGAAACTTTCAGTTAATGTTGTAACCGAAGAGCTTAGGGCAATGTATAGTTCGCATATTTATAGGGAACAGTGGTAATAGGCTTGAAAGTAAAGTCATGACGATTGAGAATATATATACGAGGGCTGTTCAGAAAGTATCAAGACTGAATTTATTATGCAAAAACATACATACATAAACAGGTTTTGAGTGAATCTCCTTCGAAATATGCTTCATTGGCAGTAACACACTTGGCACAACGATCTTTCCAGTCCTCGAAACATTTCTAGAGCTCAGACTTTGGGATGGCCTGAATCTGCTGCGTTGAATTCTGTTTTATGCTTTCAATGTCCTGAAACCGGTGCCCTTTTAAGGTATTCTTGATCTTGGGAAAGAATAAGAAATCAGGAGGTGACATGTCCGGTGAGTAGGGAGGATGTGCTATGTTCCGTGTTTTGTCCACTGATTTACGACCCTCCTTGAATTGCTGGAACCACTCGAAAACCCGAGCACGACTCATCGTCTCATCTCCAAAGGCTGTTTTCATCATCTCGTAGGTTTCGGTGCCCATTTTATCGAGCTGAAAGCAAAATTTGATACAGATTCGTGTTTTCACACATTTTCTGTTTTCGACGAACGCACGCAAACACTCTACATGAAAGAAATCAGTGTGACTGAACGGCGCGCTGTACGGACCTGCCGATTTTTGTGAGACGAGGTGAAATATGCGCGTGCATGATGGGCACAGTCCTACCGCTAAGGGTTTTCTGGAACAAATAGAATAACTTCAGTCTCGATACTTTCTGAACAGCCCTCGTATATATTTATATATATATATATATATATATATGNAGTCAAGTAATGCCTACAGTCCCTGAAGTTTGCAATATTAAGCCTTCGACAGTAATTGCTTCTTTTGTTAAGCTATAAAAGAAAGCTTTAAATACATAATTCTTCTGCAATTTTAAAAGATTGAATTAAATAATCTCGATTAATAATTTTTTTTTAATTTTTAAATTAATTTTAAAATTGCATAATAAGAATACGGAAGTTATTTTTTCAACGAAATTATTTTTGCTCCTACCAAACTTTCACTCGGTTATGTAGTTGTGTTTATATTTCTAAGATTGATTTAGAAGTAATAACTAATTTTGGTCGCATTCTGTGAAACTTTCAGTTAATGTTGTAACCGTAGAGCTTAGGGCAATGCATAGTTCGCATATTTATAGGGAACAGTGGTAATAGGCTTGAAAGTAAAGTCATGACGATTGAGAATATATATACGAGGGCTGCTCAGAAAGTATCGAGACTGAATTTATTATGCAAAAACATACATACATAAGCAGGTTTTGAGTCAATCTCCTTCGAAATATGCTTCATTGGCAGTAACACACTTGGCACAACGATCTTTCAAGTCCTCGAAACATTTCTAGAACTCAGACTTTGGGATGGCCTGAAGCTGCTGCGTCGAATTCTGTTTTGTGCTTTCAATGTCCTGAAACCGGTGCCTTTTAAAGGTATTTTTGATCTTGGGAAAGTATAAGAAATCAGGAGGTGACATGTCCGGTGAGTAGGGAGGATGTGCTATGTTCCGTGTTTTGTCCTCTGATTTACGACCCTCCTTGAATTGCTGGAACCACTCGAAAACCCGAGCACGACTCATCTCCAAAGGCTGTTTTCATCATCTCGTGGGTTTCGATGCCCATTTTACCGAGCTGAAAGCAAAATTTGATACAGATTCGTGTTTTCACACATTTTCTGTTTTCGACGAACGCACGCAAACACTCCACATGGAAGAAATCAGTGTGACTGAACGGCGTGCTGTACAGACCTGCCGATTAGTATGTATGTATATGTATTTCTAGAGAAGTATTTCTTTATATACATATAAGTATTTCTCGAGAAATGTGAAAAAAATGAGTTAGTATAGAAGTCTTTCCATAATTTTTCCCAACCCATATAGATGCCAACCTAGTACCCAAAATATTAAAAGTGATAGCAAATTTTACAGTGTGCACTCGTATATTATTTTCCAAACAATAAAATTTGCTAATAAATTATTTCATTTTTCCAAATTTGTTTCGGTGAAAACAAGACATAAATAATGTAAGTAAAATATTTTGATCCAAAACGATGCATTTGTGATGTTTTTATCATCTAAACAACTTAGCTTAAACCCTGATACCAAACTTATTTTTTCAAAATGTTACTTTACAAGTGTTGCGCAAGAGCAACGTTGGCAGGGAGTGAGTTACATATTGCCAGTTTATTTCTTAATGTTAAATATGTGTTTATTATGCCTAAAGAAACCAGAAATGCAGAAAAGGTAGAAATAAGATAGGCTCAACATTTAAAGAGAAATCCCATAACTTCCTAAAAAGTAGAAATGCCTCTATTGTTCTATACTATAAAAAATAGTATAATAAACAACTCCAACTGATTTCTGGTACAATAGCTAAAATGATGAATGAATATTATTTTAACTACTGTATTATTTAATGTATCGTTATTTTTTTAGAAATTCATAATATAATTTTTAGCTTTATAACATTATACAAATATGTCATATTGCAGAAGAAAAAAACCTGGATGTTTGGACTGATAATTCTTATTTGCTGCAGTTTCTACGAGCAAGAAAATTCGATTCAGACAGAGCAATGGAACTCATTCGCTGTTTATATACAATATTGAAGGATAATCCTGATATATTTCCTAAGAAACTTGACACAGACAAGGCAATTAGTGTTTTTGAGACAAATGTTGGGGGTGCTTTCCCTTATAGGCATTCGGATGGGGGCGTCATCGCTTTTATAAATATAGGTGAGTTAGTACAATATTGTCATTCATAAATTTTTCAACGTTTAACCCTTCATAGGGCCGTTATTTCTAGTAGTGTTGTGTAAAACTAGTTTTGAATGGAGATAGATTCATGAAAAATAAATTAATTTAGTTTATTAGCGATACTAGCGATAACATAAGATTCTAATCTTGTTCTAAGGCAGTAAGCCAAATTAGATAAGTTTGTTTCTCATGATACTAATTTTTCAAATTCAATAGCTTTCAGGCGATGAACAACACCATGATGGAACCACTAGAACAGGGGTGGCGAACCTTTATGTATCAACGTGCCATTTTTTCTAAAAAAATGTTTAATTAGGTCATAGACGTGCCGTCAAATAATTATTGGGAAAATAATAATACTAAATACTATCAACTCAAAACTCTTCATTTACTACGAAAAAAAAATACATTTTGCAATGTCTCAGTTATACACGTAATTCAACTTAAAGTTAAGTCAGTGTGACTTCTGTTGTTGAGGATTAGAAGACAAATAACTTATATTAGGGATGTAAGATGATAGTTTAAGCAGAATGCATGCTGAACTGGAGTCATCTGTCAAACGGTTTCTAAGCGAGTCTTCAATGTTATTCTTATCTGGAAATAATGACTAGCAGGCATAGGTAGATGGAAATATTGTTAAAATAGCACGATTCTTCAATTTCCAACCAATCGAATTGGGACAAGTTCAATTTATCAAATGAAGTTATATCAGGGTACATAATAAACTTGAGTGTTTCCGATAATTCTTTGAACTGAGAAAATCTCGCTGAAAATTCACTGATTGTAGAATCAATTACAGAAAAAAATTCTTCAGTGACTGTTTCTTCTCCTGGTTTTTCAAGTATATCTAAATCTTTGATATTTCTTTTTAAGTTTGAAAAGTACTTGTAGCTTCTTGTAATAATATCGTTCCTGAAAATATGCAGTTTAGCGTCAAAAGCGCGAATGAGATCTATCATGATGATAATTGTTTTATTTGGGCCTTGAAGCTTCACGTCAAGACATTGAAAACGTTGGCATATGTCGTCTGTTAAAAACATCAATTTTGAGAGCCTCATAACATCCAACAACTGTGGGTATTGTTCAATTTTTCCCTCATTTTGCAGAAACAGTCTGATTTCTTCCAAGCAATCAATAAATCTTTGAAGTACGTTACCGCTGCTCAACCAGTGAACATTATTATACATCAGTAAGCCATTATACACCAAGTTGACTTTCTCCAACAAAGCATCGAACTTTCGCTTATTAACGGCCTGCGACGAAATGAGGTTGACTATTTTTGTAACTACCTCCATTACATTATCAAGAGATGTTAAACCACTCCTAGCAGACAAGGCTTGTTGGTGAATGAGGCAGTGGAATTCAAGAATCGAATGTCCTACGTCTGTTTGAAATAAACTTATGAAACCACATTTTTTGCCCACCATACTTGGAGCACCATCAGTTGTTACTGAAACAGTTTTTTTTTTTCAAATAAACTTCTTTCTCAATAAGTCAATTTAAAACAGCCGTACAAATATCTGTGCCCTTTGTAATTGTTAACAGCGATGTTATCTTAATTAATCCTTCCTTAATGACGTTTCCTACGCAATATCGAGCTAATCGTGCAGATTTAGTAATGCCAATGCTTTCGTCAAGACATAACGATATAAAAGGAGCGGAGTTAATGTCAATTTTTTGTTGATCTGTTACATTTCCGAATAGTTTTAAGATTCTCTCTTTTATTGCATTTCTAGATAGAGGAGTATCTTTGATGCGCTGAACTATCTTATCTTTTTTATCGAAATCATCAAAAAGTGAGGGCGCACAAGCTAACCAGGCTTCCTTCGAAAACTCTCACACTTGAAAAGGTCTTTATGTTAATATAAGATAACGCCTTTCCTTAAGTGTCATATTATGTCTTGTACAGTTTTTGTTTCACTTTCTTTCACTCGCATAGCTTAATTGTTCTTTTTTGTATTTTATTAATCATTAACTGTTAATTTTTTTTGCTTGTTATTTATTGTTAGCTTGTTTTTTTATGGTTAATAATTGTCATTTTTTGCAAAAATTGTTAATATTTTGTTAATAATTATAAATTTTTTTTGTTCGTGTTTTGTCAATTTTAATTTAATTGTTAATACGTTTCATAGTGAACTTTGTGATCGGTGGAGTGCCCAAAATATTCTGTAGCGTGCCATCAATGGCACGCGTGCCATTGGTTCGCCATCCATGCACTAGAAGATCTTGGTAAATACCAAACCCATTATCTAACCAATTTAACGATGCTTTGACAGATTAACATCCAATTATGACAAATGTTTTCTATTTACTGCCATAATCAACTATATAATCAACTATATAATCCCCCCTTTCAGCAGGTCCACAGGTGCGGTGCAACAATAATTCTGATAATAATTGTGGCTACTAGGCCGGGATAGCCTGGTCGGTGGGGTGCCGGGCCCATGTCCAAGAGTTCGTGGGTTCGGTCCCGGCCGTTCGATGGTCACTGATGCACGTTAAATCTGTCGAGTCTGAAAGTCCTCCATGTTCCCATAACAAATCAAAACTTCTGGGGGTACTGATCTAGGAGTTTCCTTGTCTTCTGGATTCGTTCAAAATTACAAGGCTACGGCGTTGAACATTAATAGTCGTAAACCCAAAAATTGGGTCGGCTGTTCAACGGCGGTCATAAAATAAAGTAAAAATTGTTTAGATTATAATGATCACTTTTTTAAGAGTGGATTTAGAAAATTATACCTATTCCAAATATTTGGTAAGAAACAGGAGCATAGGATGGGTGGAATTTATAAATTCTGTGATTAACCTTAACTAGAAATGATGAGATGAACAAAAGCTCTATAGAAATTATTAAAGCATAATGCAGAGAAATTTTTTTTAATCATATTTCGTATTTTTTATTCGCTGTAACTTTATGCGTCTCTTTCCAGCGAATTGGAATCCTGATCAAATTCCAATACAGCTAGCTATCTCAGCAGTGACAGCTATGTTACTTTCTTTGGTAGAAGATCCAGCAACTCAAGTGTGTGGAGTTCATATCGTATATGATGCACAATATAAGATGAATCATTTACGTGCGGTCAGTTTGAGATACATAAAGTTTTTCTCAAAATTACTTAGAGTAAGTAGCATCATTTCTCCATAAATTTAGTGTTCCATAACCATATTGTTTATACTTATATAATGTTAAAATAAATGAAAACTTGAAAATGGTTAAATGTATCGAGATGAAAAGTAAAATTCGACACATAAATAGTTTTTTCTTAAAAGCTATCCGATGATGCCAAACTCAATCAGGGAAAAGGGTAACTTTGAAATCTTAATTATGAACTCCTATTTTTCACATTTCAGATTCGGATTCTCCAGAAAAAATTAACTCTATTTAGTTACAGGTTTATGTATTTTTCTACTCAGATGAGCCTGCAACCGAGAAATAAAAAAAAGATAATCTGTGTAAAACGGTGATAACTCGAGATCCATCGGATTAAAAATAAAAATAAAAAAAAATAATAATGTTTCCTTATTTTTTTGAAAAAAAAAAACATCGATACACATTTTTCCTAGGTGTTTATTAATCTGATGGGATAATAAGTAAAAATAAATAAAACTAAAGATATTTAAATATATTTTCGGAAAAAAAGAATTGATCCTAAATTTTTTACCGTGTCTATTTTTATCTTCTTTATCTGGTAGACCTCGAGATTCCTCTTTTTAAATAGCTTGTCTAACTTTTCTTGGTTACAGCAAAATGCATAAGCCCACAATGCATAAACTCAAAATAAGTTTTTTAAATATTGAAAAAACTTCTCTATTTACTCTATGTAAGCAATTTTTGCTCTGGGCAACAGTTGTTTTGGAAGATTTTGTATGCCAAAACTGTCAAAAAGTTTGAAAGATCATATTTGAAACTTTTTGAAATGGTGTCCTTTTTAACAATGCAAAATCTGCATCGACCAAAATAAGCGTAGGAGTAAAAAATAATTTCCTATTTCAATACTATTATAATTAAAAAAAACATTTCTATATAAATATTTTTTATTTTTATTATATAACCGTCGTTCAACGCCGCAGTCTCATAATTTTGAACCCTATTCAGAAGACAAGGGAGCTCTTGGATCAAATATTGGGAGAAATTTGTCTTCGTGGAGGACTTTTTGATGGGATTAACCTGCATTTGCGTTACATGGAGAGGAAGACCACGAGAACCTCCCACGGTCAGTTTGACGGTAAAGGGACTCTAACCCATGATCCGTCTACCACTGAGGTCATTGTGGTCGGTACAAGCCGGATCGGATCCGGTTCACCTCATTGCTCTATCCCCTGAGCCATCGCGTCATTTTATAAAAATATTACTGCAATCCTATATAATGATTTAAAAACTGCTGGTATTAAAGACTACTGTAACCGAAGAGCAACCGACCTAAAGTTTCGGATAGCCACAGGTGAAGTGTGCCCATCTGCCACGCACTGACATTGTCTTTATTCTACATTTATTCTTTGTGATGCCCATATATTCAACTATTGCACAACCATTTCCGTGTCTCTATGAGACATATTAGATCTGATGAATCACTGAGAGGTCTCCAGGGCCGGTGCTAAGTAGCAAGTACAAATCTACAGTAGCAAGTACAAAATTGCTGTATGAAAGATAGAAGGAAGTTATTAACTTTTAACACTCGTTTTGGTTGATCCGAATTTTTTTTATAAAAATGACATATCTCTAAAAGCTTCGAGTATGAGCTTTTAAAATTTATCAACAGTTTTACCATAAAACTTCCACCAAAACATTTGTTGCTAAATGAAAAATTGTTTACATATAGTAAGTATGGAAGTTTTTACATCATTTTGATCAACCCTTGTTTTTAAAATAATAGTGAATTTTGAGGAACACGAATGGTTTCTTTCTCCATGATAAATTTCCAGAACGAAATAATTGAGTTATCATTCTTTTATTTCTTGTCCTGACAAAAAGTTAAAACTTTTAAAAACTAAAATTTTTTCGAACACTACAAATTCTTCACTTACTTTTAGCACTTACTTTACCTCCTAGAAGAGAGAAGGATTCAGCACGGGTTACCATAAGCAAGAAATTTTATCTCTAAGTTGTCCAAACGTAAAAACATCTTTCAAATTTTCCCCAACTGTGCAACTTAGTAGCCCGAACATAGTGTTATCTTTCTTATTTCCTCCACAGCGTAGTTTATGCTCGTTTCGTCGGTCTACTAAATTGATTCGGGATGAGATCTTTCTCTTCTAGGAGATGTTGGTTTAAGTTAAAGTGTTTTAACCCTTTTTTCATAATGGCCCTCTTGACGTCACTATAAAGACATGAATGTTCACCTCCTTGGCAGGGTTGGTTTAACACAGTATAAAATACATGCTATTAAAGAAGTTATAAATTCAGCAATTTATTGCGAGAAAGATTACCAATTCTATTGTGAAAGTAATACATTCCTTGCTCTTCTAAACAAAAAATTGTTTACACTAGAAAGTTTGAAGTGTTTTTTTCTTCATATCTCATAATTCAAACTAAGTTTTAAGAAATAGTTTTGAAATTTTTTACTCATCATTAACACCATTTTGGTTCATCATGTGCGTAGTGTTTGAAAGTTATTTTATGTTTTCAAGTTGCCAAGAGTTGCCTGCAAATATTTCCTTTTTTGCGTAAAAGCATACTTTCATAAAAAAATTCCAAAAATTGTTCAAATATAAAATAATTGGCCATTAGGTATTTTTAATAAAATAACGGAATGATTAAAAATATACTATATTGAGAAAAAAATGTGCAACAGTTTTTTTTTAAAAAAAATTATTCAATAATAGTTTGTGAAAAATTTTTTTTTTCAGGAGAAGTTGGAATTTTTTTATTTTATCGTAGGTGGTAAGCCGTGAAAGTTTGGGCATTAAACGTTTGAAATAACCTCTTATTCCAGTTTTGCTTTCGTTGCAAAATTTGGAGTAGGTTTTAATTATATCATGTATTTTTTAAATGCTTTTATTTTTATAAAGCAAGTTTCTTAAAATAATTTTCATCTCTATTTATAGAATATGTTGCCCGTTAGATTCAATAGTGTGCATATTGTCAATGAATCACCTATCTTTAGATATCTATTCAACATGTTGAAGATCTTCCTATCTGAAAAAATACGGAATAGGGTAAGACTTACATTATTCATTACGTAAGTTATAAAGTTTTGTTTCCGTTATTATATAAATAGGGATGGAATTTAATATTAATATTCTGCGAAATTTGAATTTTTTGTTTTAAATTTACACTTGTTTCATGATTTCTTTTCAATACTACACTATAATCAAAAAAGCATTCCAGTAAAAATACTTCAATCCTATAGAAGTACTTCAAAATTGTTGGTATTCAAGTTAGAAAGAAGAATCTTTCAAGTTAGAATCTTTCAAAATGAGCAAACAGTTTTGCCGTGTAAAATCTGAGAAGACTGTTGCTGCCAATCGAAAGATTGTTTAAGCAAAGTTAGAATGAAAGTTTTTTCCATAATTTTGTTTCCATATTTTATGCACACAGTGTACAAAGTAAAATACGGACCAATCTGAATAACTTTTGATTTAATGATCAGGTCTTCATGTTCTAAAACTCAATCATAATTGTTAAAAGGGGTGATCTCAAATATGCTAATTACTTAGTGCAAACGATGATTTAAGTTATAAAATTAGACACAAAAACGTACTTTCTCTGAATAAACATACCTTTCTTTCGACGGATTTGCATTTCTGACCCCCAACATATAGGAAGTAGCTGCAATGTGGAAATTAGGGTTCCCTTAGTTTAATCAGGATCAATCCAAAGTTTGTACCCCTTAATGATGATTTTTTTTGCGCATTTCACCATACCTGGAGAACATTTTATGCAAACTGAAAAAATTTTGCACACGATTAGAAAATTCACTTATCCAAAGATAATTCCTTACAAAAAATCAATTTTAGTAAATATTTATTATTTTTTATTATTTTATTAAATAATATTCGATAGAATATTGAATTGTATGGTATAAAGTATTTTACATCAATTTCAAGTAAGTAATTTTATATGGAAAAGTACAAAATGTGAGCAAAATCGATTTAATAGTTATTAAGAAATCAAATCTTAAATATACGACTTTTTTTTAAAAAAAAATTCGATTCATTAGGATTTTCTTAATATAATATGCAATTTTTTTTCGTCGCGTAAATTTATATACATTAATTTGATGTTAAAAATTTCATACCTTACAATTTAAAATTCTTTCGTGTAGTATTAAATAAAAATAATAAATATTTACTGAAATTTATTTTTTTTTGTATGGAATTATTTTTAGATAAACGAATTTTATAATTCGGTGCAAAACCTTTTCAATTGACTAAAAATGTTCTCAAAATAATGCGAAATGCGCTAAAAGTAAAATTAACACAGAGGGGTTCGAAATCTGGTCCGGTCTACTGACCAAACTATTAAGCCCATATATCCCAGATTGTAGATTCAATTTGATTAGTAATATTTACAAGGGGATTCTTAAGCATGATTTTATTTATCTTGCTCGTCCCTGGGACCTTAATGTAGTGAAACTTAGATTTAATAGTACTCACTAATTTTTCTAAACTGGCTAGTTCAATAGTGTCTAGGTGATTTTTTGAAGAAATAAACTTATAGTAGGTACCCAGAATCTCAGCCTCTTAGGAACTGTCATATGGTTTGTCATTTAAGGAAAATTGTTTCTCCATGGCATCCACAAATATTTCACTTTTATCACTGTCAGAGTATGTTTTATCACAGGGTTCATTCAGAGGCATATTTGTGGTCTTTGTTGAACGCACCATTACTCCATCCGGACTTGTACAAAGTCGCTAAACTTTCCACTTTGTCATCCCCAATTATCCTTTTTAATTCCTTCCTTCTCGCTCCCGTGAAAATGACGGGGTGAGGTTTCGCCTTCTATTTCTGTCTCCCGTGAAATTTCCGGGTTGGAGTGTTCAGTAGTAACGCGCCAATAAGAATTAAACTAATTCATTTCTTCTTCTTAGAAAACATTTTATTTCTCATTTTATCCACTAATTGCCACTACCATGATATTTTTAAGCTAATTGTAGATAGTTAATTTGTTTTGAACTAGATGTCAGCACTAATCAAATACGTGTATTTGGCAAAATAGGCACTTTTATGACCGTTTTCTTGAAAATTAACCGATCGTTAAGGGGTAAAATTCTGCTATTTGTGTTTTGATGCTTTTAATAAAGTTGCTGACTTGGCTCTTGATGGCTGGGTCACGGGTCCTCTCATACTTTTTCCTTTGATCATTTTTTATTTTAATTGAAAGTTTTTTCTTAAAGGAAAAGTACTGATTAACATTATTCTAGAAAAATACAAGTTCGAAACATTCCAATATTTCAAAAATTATCCAGACTTTTCAAAAATGAATAAAATAAACATTGTAGCTTAAATATTGTCAATAAATTTTCTTTTCTTAAATACTTTAGACACATATTGATTAAGTTTTGAGCATTTTATCTGTGTTTTATTTTCAAAATTTTATAGCTGCCAATTTTTATTTTTATACTTGAATTGAAAGCAAACCTTTTGATTTCCTTTTTATTCTTGGATAAATAAATTTAATTTATAATGATTTAAACTACCACAACACACAAATTCGTAATAGATAAGATAGATAATATTGACACACGATAGTCTTTTGAATCACTGTAAAATACAAAAATATCTAAGTGTAATTGATTTTTCAGTTTTATTTTATTATCATTGAGGATAACCATTCTTCATAAGTGGGCATAGATTGCGATTCAAATTTTGGGCTGGAGGTTGATTCCCAAACTTTGGACAAAAAATTCGCATTTTTGATTCAAATTTTTTTTTTGTAGTTTTATTCAAATATTTATTTATTTACTTTACTTTACTTTTAGTTATTTTTTTTAGTGTTCTGAAAGTAATAATATATTTTAACATGAAATAAACAATATAAATGACAGTCTAAATATGATGTTTTTTTAAATTTTTATTTATAGTTCCACTTCCATGGGAGTGATATGAAACAGTTACATCAGTACTTACCTAAAGAAATTTTACCTCCTGAATACGGTGGCGATAATATAAATTATTCTGCAAGTGAGTTTTGTATAAAGGAGTTTAGCCCATTCGTCAAAAAATACAGTGAAATGCATCGAAAAGGTTATTTTTGATAAAATGTAAATATTTTCCGATTTTGAATATATAACGACACAATCAAAAATCAAAGAAGTATTAGAATAAATTTAAGCAGAATACTCTGTAAAAAATGGATACTCGATTATCACGAAATTTTTGCTCGTTTTTGACGAAAACGTTTCCTGATATATGCTCCGAGCAAAAATCTAGCAAAAACTTTTTGGGTTTGCGACTGCTAATGTTCAACTCCGTAGCCTTTTAATTTTGAACCCAATCCAGAAGAAAAGGGAACTCCTGGATCAAGTATTGGGAGAAATTTGCCTTTGTGGAGGACGTTTTGGTGGAACTAACTCACATTTGCATTACATGGAGAGGAAAACCATGAAAACCTCCCACGGTTAGCCTGACGGTGAAGGAACTTTAACCGATGATTCGTCTACCATTGAGGATATTTTACGTCAGCACTGTGGTCGGTGCAAGGCGGAAGCCGAATTTGTATCGACCAGCCAATGTCGACCAGCCAAAGGCGAGCTCTCTATCCCCTGAACCATCACGGCTCACGAAGTAACTATTGTCACTTCCTACGGGAAACGAATTTCGTCAAAATTAAGGAAATATCTCGTCATTTTATTTTTTTCCACTAAAAAAACTAGTACTGCCTAAAGTTTTTAACTGTTCCAATAATAATTACTTTAACTTGAGCACCAATAAAAAATAATAAAGACAGCTATGAGCATGAGAAGAGGGAAATATGGAATAATGAGAAGATAGAATAATTAGTGGAAACGTTCCCGAAATCTTCAGGATCCTTGTATAGATGATAATTTTTATCAAAGAAGCTGATTCTCTTTGTAAAAAAGCTAGCAATACATTCTGTAGAAATGCTAGTAACTCATATCATCAACTCTTTCAAGATTAGCACCATAACAGACGATTGGAATTTATCTGCTGAATTAAATTTTCTGAAGAGAAAAGAAATATTAAAAAATGTAGACCCACAGTAAAACTTTTATTAGTACTCTGAAATGTCCAAATAACAAAAAAAAAAAAAAAAAAAAAAAAAAAAAAACAAACATATTGATCAATAGACAAAAAAAAGAAGATTTAGACTTGTTGTAATCGACAATAACAAGAGATTTTTAGAGAATTGGTGGAAGAATATTAATCTTAGACAGAAACGATTACAGTTCTGTTTTTGCAGAAATGAAAAGTTATTTATCCATTCCTTCATTTAAGGTTTTTTTTAAATATTTAATATTCCTTTTTCAACTAACTCTATATAGAGCCGGTTTATGCTTTACATCATTACTTTCTCTTGATTCTCTTTGCTGATTATCATCTTATAATTAAATGCATTTAAAAAGGAAATTGCCCTAAAATCTACTGTGGTAGTTTGAAGAAGATGAACTTTTATGTTCCTCAAATATGACTGATGTGAAACATTTCAACGAATTGGCTTTGCAATAAAACATTTTAAATGAAAATAATAGAATATGCAAACATGTATTATAAAGAATAAAACTGGTTTATTTATTTATTTTAAATGAACTGTGTCATCTTGTATTTATTCATTTAAAATATTTTCTGCAAACAAAAATAAATTATAATGTTTTGCATTTCATAAGGACTTTGAAGCAACAATAAGCTAATGGAAGAATTTACCCCGACCCACCCTTATTTAGGGCATGCGTTTATTAAAATACAAAAATCCAGAAAACAGTACAAACATAAAATGCATAAAATACACATCAGACATGGCAACAGCCCATGAACATGGCGGTCTTAGAGCAGCTAAAATCATGTAAGGTGATAATTATTAAAACAGCAATATATTAAAAGTGTCAATTAAAAGAATAATTCAAAAGAACAATTTAAAAGATAAACGTGCAAAATTTACAAAAGAACAAAATTGTAAAACATTTAAAAACAGTACTTTTAAAACCAATTAAATAGTACAAAAGTAAATAAAAATAAAATTGGAGCAAGTAAAAGAAGAAGAGTTTATAAAAGACATAGTAAAAAAAAAATGAGACACCCAAGCTGGAAGGAACAAGTTCCGAGACATTAAAGACCGTCCCCCAATACATCCTCTNTTACTTTGTTCAAAATAAAACTATTTAGTTATACTTTGAACTAACATTGATTATATATATGATTAAACTAACAATAATTAAAATAAAAGCAAAGTAAGTCTGTCAAATTAGCAACGACTACATTTAAGTTACCGCTTTTTATTTAATTGCAACTTGATTCTGATTTTGTACAAATGCTTTTCTGAATCACCCGTCCCCAAGGGGTTAAAGAAATACAGTGAAATGCATCGAAAAGGTTACTTTTGATAAACTGTAAATATTTTCCGATTTTGAATAGATAACGACACAAAAAAATCAATTAGTTTCAGTATTAGAAGAAATTTGAACAGAATACTCTGTAAAAAATGAATACTCGATTATCACAAAATTTTGGCTCGTTTTTGACGAAAACGTTTCCTGATGTATGATTCGGGCAAAAATCAAGCAAAAATTTTTGGGTTTGCGACTGCTAATGTTCAACTCCGTAGCCTTGTAATTTTGAACCTAATCCAGAAGAAAAGGGAACCCCTGGATCAAGTTTTGGGAGAAATTTGCCTTTGTGGAGGACTTTTTGGTGGAACCTCCACCATCAGGATAACCCCCACGGATAGCCTGATGGCAAGGAAACTCTAATCCATGACCTGTCTAATACTGAAGACATTTTGCGTCATCACTGTGGTCGGTGCAAGCTAGATGCAGAATTTGTATCGACCATCCGATGCTGGGATTCGAACCCGGTTCACCTCATTGGAAGGCGAGTACTCTATCTCCTGAGCCATCACGGGTCACGAAGTAACTATTTTCTCTTTTCTATCCGTCGTTGAGCAGCTGACCCAATTTTTGGGTTTACGACTACTAATGTTGAACTCCGTATCCTTGATTTTTTGAACCAATCCAGAAGACAAGGAAACTCCTGGATCAGTACCCCCAGAGGTATTGATTTGTTATGGGAACATGGAGGACTTTGCGACTTGACAGATTTAACGTGCATCAGTCACCATTTACACGGGGATTCTTCGGCTGGCAGAGATCGAACCCACGAACTGTTGGACATTGGTCCAGTGCCCTACCAACTAGGGTATCACGGTCTTACGAAGTAACTATTGTCATTTCTTCAAGGAAACGAATTTCGTCAAAATTAAGGAAATATCTCTTCATTCTATTTTTTTTCTATTAAAAAACTAACAGTGCCTAAAGTATTTAACTTTTCTAACAATAATTACTTTAACGTGGCCACCATATAGAATAAAGACAGCTATGCTGCGTAGCCCTAGCATGAGAAGAAGGAAATATGGAATAGTGAGAAGATAGAATAACTAGTAGAGACGTTCCTGAAATCTTCAAGATCGTTGTATAGAAGATAATTTTTATCTAAGAAGCTGATTCTCCTTGTAAAAAAGCTAGCAATGCATTCTGTAAAAATGCTAATAATTTCAGGGCTAGCACCATGCCAGGCGGTTGGAATTTATCTGCTAAAACGAATTTTCATTAAAAAATGTTGAGCCACACATAAACTTTTATCAATACTCTAGAATTTCCAAAAAAAAAAAAAAAAAAAAAAAAAAAAAAAAAAAAAAAAAANAAAAAAAAAAAAACATATTGACCAATAGAGGGAAAAAAAGGTTTAGACTTTTTGTAATTGAAAATAACAAGAGATTTTGAGAGAATTGGTGGAAGAATATTAATATCAGACAAAAACGACTCTGTTTTTGCAGAAATGAAAAGTTATTTATCCATTCCTTCATTTTAAAGTTTTTAATATTTAATATTCTTTTTTCAACTATCTCTATATAGGGCCGGTTTTTGCTTTATATCATTACTTATTATGTATTCTTTATTCTCTTTGCTGATCAGAATCTTATAATTAAATGCATTTAAAAAGGAAATAGCCATAAAATCTTCAGTGGTAATTTGAAGAAGATGAACTTTTATGCTCCTCAAATATGACTCATGTGAAACATCTCAACGAATTGAATTGAAAATTATTTGCTGTGTAATAAAACATTTAATATGAAAAGAATAGAATATGCAAACATGCATTATAAAGAATAAAACTGCTTTATTTATTGATTTTAAACGAACTGCGTCATCCTGTATTTATTCATTTAAAATATTTTCTCTAAACAAAAATATATTACAATGTTTTGCATTTTATAAGCACTGTGAAACAACAATAAGGTAACAAAAAAGTTAAAAAACTGGTAATACATTTATGAAGTAAAGGGATAAAACATTATAGATGAGTAGAAAAATCAGTTTATTTGAAGAAAAAAAGTTCTTATTTCAATGCAACACTTAGAACAAGTGAGGAAATGGCAACTAGGTACTTTTTTAGAGAAAATAAATAAAAAGGAATAATGACAATTTTTTATTATTTTTTTAATAAACTTGAATTGACACTTTCTACATCACAAAGTTTCGAATTTATTTAATTTATTAATGTACCATTTTTGAGAAAAGCTGTTAATGAGAATAAACTGGAATTAAAATACATTTGATTGTTTTTGCTTATTTCTTACATTACAAAATTCCACACCAACCTCTGTTAAACTCCTCTCTAATACGTATAGTTATGGGTGTATTTGGGACTCTCAAAGCCAGCCGTTCAAAAAAATATTTTTCAAGAGAAAAAAATAGAAAGAAAGAAACTCAATATTAAAGCTACTAAAAACAAATAATTAAAATATAAAATTAACATTCGTATAAGTTGAATAAACTCTATCAATTTCATTTTAGCGAATTTCGTAATTATTGAAATATTCAAACAATCTCTACATAGAAATTTTTTAAAGTGTTCAAAATGTTTCAAAATTTCTGAATAATTGAAATAGACATAAGTGCATACTTTTCTCTTGTTAGTCTTCACTGTATACTTAGTAACAGGGAAAAAAACAATTCTGTAATATTGTATACAATTCGTAATCATCATTACTGATTATTAAATATTAGACCAAACATTTTAAAAAATCTTTTCTTTACAGCAAATAAGATTATACAAAATATT